AGCTTTACTAAGGATTTCATGGACATTCTAGAAAGTCATCTGTCATCCGGGGCTAGGTTTGTCGCCAGGAGGCCAGCCTCTTGCTAGGGATTTTTTTCAATCACAGAACCTAGTGATGGCTAGCCAAGTGAAATAGCAAGAGTGAACCTATGTATGTGGGCCAAAGAACACCCACACTGATAAAATCAGCAGCCCTGAAAGACTTTTTAGGTAAAAGAGGATGATTATAGAGGTGTTACCTCCCTCGGGGGGCTGCCCAGGGGATCAGGGGAGAGAATGTACTTTGGGGAAGGGCTTTAGATGCAAATGAAAGCTGCTAGTATTATTCTTGAAAATAACTGACTTGAAGCTTTGCAAAGGGCTTTACATGTGTATGCATAGACATGTGTGCTTTATATCTATAAATATATATTGTTATATATAATTTATATATGTTTTGTGTGTGTGTGCACATATATACATGTATACATGTGTGTATATGTATGTGTGTAATTACAGATATATATCGCTACATAGATGATAGGTAGATAGATAGATAGATAGATAGATAGATAGATAGATAGATAAACTTCTGCTTGCCTTGGAGACAGCTTGCTAAGTTAAGCGACTTGCCCGGGACCACACAGCTAGGACATGTGTGAGGCCAGATTTTAGCGCCCCTTCCAGATTCCAGGCCCAGTGCTCTATTGTATTATTTTATATCATACAGCCTTGCATTGGGTATCCATATACGCATCTACATTTACCAGAACTGTGTTTTCATCAGAATAGGGAATAGTGCTCTATTTACAATTTAGCATCTTAGAGAATTATTAGCTGGAGCAGGAGCAGTGTGTGTGTGTGTGTGTGTGTGTGTGTGTGTATGTGTGGGTGGGTGTATGTGGGGGGGGCAGTGTGTATGTGACAGAGACAGAGAGAGGGAGGGAGGAAAAAGAGAGAGAAGGAGAGGGAGAGAGAGAGAGAGAGAAAGAGAGAGAGAAACAGAGACAGAGGTAGGACTTGGCTCCCAGGGCTTCCAGATTCTACAGCTGGCCCTCTAACCCCTTCACCACACTGCCAACAATAGACAGAATGATGGACAGATTTAGAGATACACTTATATGAATCAGTGACCAATGTAATAGCTAGCATTTGTATAGTGGCATTAAAATGTGCACAGCACTTTACATATACTATCTCATTTGTTCCTGAAATTATCTCTGTTAAATAGGTGTTATTATCTCTACTTTACAGATGGGGAAACTGATGTCAGAGAAGTTACCGGACTTGTCCAGGGTCACACAGTTCATACACTTCTGGGGCAGGATCCGAATTTAGGTCTTCCTGACCCCTAGACCCTGAGACCTTCACCTAGTATATCAAAGCTGGAAGGGACCTCAGGGACATCTAATCCAATATCCCTTCTCCTCTTCCCCCCTACTTTCTCTCCCCCACACCAATATAAACATTTTAAGGACTCTTCATTTCCCTTTTATTACAGGAGATAAGCCCTTTGACCAGACCTGGCTTGAAGAACCTCAGCCCCAATGCTTGCAAGTTTATCGAGAAGACAGTTGCCTGGTATTCAGGAGGATTCTCCAGATGTGGAAAAGAAACCCCAGCTGGGCCATTTCTGAAATCACTGCACCGCTCCTGCCTCTCTGAGAGAGAGAGAGAGACAGAGAGATGGCGGAAGACAGAGAGAGCAGACAGATTAGACAGACAGACATTTTTAAAAGCGCCCTCTTTATACGGTGGAAAGTATATTGTATACTTTGTAAGTGCTATGGAAAGGCAAGGCTTGCTCCCAAAGGGGCAACTCGTCCTCCTCACTCCCCATCTCCACCAAAAGGCCCTCTTGTAAGAGTCACAGTATCTGGTGTAAGGGGACACTTGCATCGTCTTCTTTCTGACCTGAAAAATAACCACAGTCTCTTCTTTTAGGGTCATGGGAAGGAATCTGGATCCATCTTGGTGAGAGAGAGGACAAAGAACTGAGTATTTCCCCCTCATTTCCATTGCAAATTCTCTCCGATCCCTGGGGTGTTTCTAGCTGTTTGGGACAAATCCCTATCCAAATGAAAAACCCGAGAGTACAGAGGGGAGGTCACCAGACAATCTGGGGCACTGACCAAACAGCCAGATGGTTTGAGGCTGTGGATGACCCACCCAAGGGCAAAAAAAGGGGGGGAAAAAAAACTGTAACCACTCATTTCTATAGACCCTGTAGGTTGACAAAGTGCTCACAATAACTTAAGTAACATGGGAACAATGGAGGCAATTTGTTAAATATAGGTGTCATTCTCCCTTTTTTACAGATAAAGCAACTTGCCCAGCCAAAATGGCCTTCTTGCCATCCCTCACAAACGACTCCCCACCTCTGCACCTTTGCACTGGCCTTTCCCCAAGGAAACAGAGGAGGAAGCATAATACAGGAGAAAAAGCACTTGATTTGGAATCAAAGAATCCTCTTCTTTTATTTACTTCCCTGTGTGACCTTGGACAAATCATTGCTCTCCCTGGGGCTCAAGTCCCTCATCTATAAAATGGGGGAGCAGATGAGGGGAAGAACTGTATGTCCTATGTGGTCCGTTCCAGCTTGAAATTTATGGCCCTAGGTATCCGGCAGTGAATTTGAACCCAGGTCCCCTGCCTTAGAATTAGGGTTCCAAACTGTGACCTTTACAGAAACAGATTTCCGGGGTAAGCAGAGAGAAGCCCGCACCCCTTGGTCACCTGGATGAGAATTTGGATTTTTTCCAACACGCTGCTTCAGAGACAGAGAGCCTCTCTGGCCCCTATCTCCAGCCCTCAGAATTTCCTGGCACGCTTAGGGTCCGGTGCCACCTTCTGAAGACTGTTCAGCCACTAAGTCCGTTAAAGAGCCTCTGATCTAAGCAGCACTCGAGAGCAGCCCGGGTCCAGCCTGAGGACAAGCCAGAAAGCCCTTTCTTTCTGCCTGACAATACAGACATCAAACAGAGCAACCACAGCGACCTGCCCTCATGCTGCAATTGACCCATACAACGCTGCTCAATCTTGTCACTGAACTGCACCGGGCCAACACAGTGAAGCATCTCTCTCAAGAAATCAGATTCTCTCCCCTACAAAGAGCACTTGAAAACAATTATCATATCAAAAAAAAAAAAAAAAGGAGGGGGGAGCTATTACAGGGAGAAAAAAAATAACAGAAGTTTCAATGGGAGGCGCCAGTCCACCCAGTGACCTTTACAGAAATAGATTTCTGAGGGGAGAAGCCTGAACCCCTGGGTCACTGGGATGACAATGTGGGTTTTTCAGTGGCTGTTTCATACGGAGGAAGCCAAGACCCCTCCTCTTAAAAACACCTACGGCTGGTTCTCTACCAACTGACCAATAATTAGTAACAACAGGAACCACAATTTTGGTGTGGCGTTTTTGGGGTGGCCGAGGAAAGAGGGGGAAAAGCTTGCTGCCAATCGAGCTACTCTGAGCCCTACCTCCGACGAATGACCCATGCCCAAACCCAGAGGCCATTCCCTAATAAGGACCACACAGCTTAGACCTTGGAAAGTCACTGGACCTACCCAGCCTTTAAACGTCTCTGGATAAAAGCACTGTTTGGAAAGGAGGAACTGATCTTCACCCCCACTGTGTGTGAACCCCGGCAGTGGGGGAGGGGAGAAGAAGAGGGGGAAGTGAAGGGCAAGGACGGACCCTCTGAACCTAACTACCTTTTTACATTGTTCTTCCAACCCCAATTAAGCCTACACTTCCCTTTGAGAGTTTGGAAGGAGATGTCATTTAAAAAAAAACAACAACAACATCAGCAGCTCTTTCCCCCATCCCCCAACCCTCAGTACTTCTCCAATGGCGACTATTTCCAACAAAAATGCTATACTCCTGAGTATAATCTGTTATAAGCCAAAGTCCATTTTTTGGACTTGAAGTCCGGGGAACAGAAGGCGGATAATTGTTTTGATTAGCTTAATACCATGGTAACCCGATGGCGAGGCAACAAATGACTGAAGGGGAGAAACGCCGATTCAGCAGAAAAAAAATAATTTTTTTAAGCCTGATGCATAGCAAAGCAGCTTGCCCGGCAGAGCGATGCTGCAGGGATCATCGATGTACCGGGCACACAGCAAGAAAGAACTCAGCAGGAGAGGAGGCCAAGGTGGAAGGGAGACTTTTTTGAAAACGAGACTTCATTTAGCCCACATTGGCAGGCAGGGCATGGGAGTGTCCTCAAATGCACAGGGAATAGTTGGAGCCCGGTGACAAAAGAAGAAACATGCCTAAGAACCTCACGGGCCTAAAAATGGGAACAGAGTGGGAGTGGGGGGCCGGGAGTCTGTGTAGGAGAGACATCGGGGGTGCTGGACGTCAAAACTTGTCATCTGACCTCTTCCCCCAAACTCCCTGAAAAGGGGAAGGACCTTTTGCCTCTCTAGAAGGACGAATTTCTCCTGCAATTGAGGGTTGTCTCCTCTCTCCTACACCTCCCCACCCGAAACTCCAGCAACACCCCTCCCCACTTGGGCTGTCCGTACTCCGAGACGAAAGAATGGTTCCCCTTAGCCCGGAGACAAGCAGCTGCCAATCAGGGCATGTAAAGAAGGATCCGGGGGCGCACAGACCTAAGTCGGAGTAGAGAGACAGAGAAAGAGAGAGCCGGGTTCTGGACTCCCAGAACTCCACCCCCCTCCGCGGGCCTCCCCCCACCCCCAACCCCAGGGGTTTCATTTTTGCTTTTGCATCCCCAGAGTCCGGCACACAGTAGGCGCTTCATAAATGCTTGCTCGCTCGGTTTGCAGCAACACCCAGGAAGGGGGTGCAACTTAACGCTGCAAAGTTCGGGGGATGGTGTAGAAGGAAGGGGTGGTGGTGGAGGGGGTGGGCTAGTTGGCACCGGGTCTAGAGCCCGCCTCTCTCCCGCCCCTGACCCGGCTTGCCGGAGAGTAGATGGGTGGAAAGGTAGAAAGCAGAAGGGTAGAAAGAGCCCCCCACCTCCTCTGCCCCGACTTTGCCCAGCCCCGTACCTCCAGGGTCCTGATCTCCTGCTGGGTGAGGTCGTTGGACACCGCACACTTGGTGCGCAGCCCCCGCAGGCTGCTGATGGAGATGTCGATGAGCTTCTGGAGCTGGCCGCACTGCTGCAGAGCCCGGCCGGCCGCGGCCCCGGCCCCGGCCCCGGCCCCGGCCCCGGCCCCGGCTCCAGCTGCGCCCGCATCTGCCGCAGCCGCCGCGCCCCCTCCTCTCTCCTTCTTCTCCCCCATCGCTGCCGCTGCTCGGAGAGCCGCTCTATCCATGCCTCGGCATCGGGACCCGGGGGGTTGGAGCGCGCGGGCGAGGCGGGGAGGAGCCCCGAGCCAGAGCCAGAGCCAGAGCCCGGCCACTCGGGCTGGCGGGGAGCCACAGACGGCCGGAGCGCGCGGCCGCCGCTGGGGCTCCCTGCAGCCGTCGTCTGCCGCTGCCGCTGCCGCTGCCGCTGCCGCCGCCGCCGCTGCTCCTCCTCCTCCTCCTCCACCTCCTCCTGCTGCTGCTGTTGCTGCTGCTGCTACAGCCCAGGAGCCCAATGCGAAGCGAGCGCTCCGAGCCGCCGCGCCTCCGACGGCTGCCTCTCGGGCTCGGCTCGCAGGCTCTCCCGAGTGGCCGCCGAGGCCCGGCGGGAGCCCGCGGGGGACGCCGGGAGTTGTAGTCCTGGCCGCGCACCTGCCGCTCGAGGCGGCTGCGAGCGGCCTGACGGCTCCCTCCACAGCCCCAGCGGCGCGCGCCCAGAGCCCCGGCGGCCCCCCGCAGCGGCCGGCCCACACCCCTGCGGGGCGCGCCCCGCCTGGCGCGCTGCCGGCTCTGGGAGCACCACCCCCTCCCCCCCTCCCCTTCCACGCGGGCGGGGCCTGCTCTTCCCAGGCTCCGCCCCCTGAGCCGGGCTGCGGGAAGCTCGGGGAGAGAGGCGGTCAGAAGAGAAGGGGGTGTGCAAGGCTTACCCTTCCTGGGCTGGGGTCCGAGCAACAGGAGCTGAGCTCCAGCAACCAGGATCGCCGGATGTCAGTCAATAAGCATTTATTATTTATGTGCCGGGCGCTGCGCTGAGCTCTGGGCGTGCAAAAACATGCAAGAGCCAGCCCCTGCCCTCGAGAAGCTCACAGTCTAACACTGGAGAGAACTGGCAGACTACGATATAGAAACAGACACGATCAATGGGAGATAATCAGCAGCGAGGAGGCCCTGCTAGCCCGCTTACGACCGAGGTGGCCTTGGTCAAGTCACTTACCGTCTCCAGACCTCAGCGTCCTCTCTATTCAAAAAAAAGGACTAGGTGACCCCTCAACTCCCATTCGATTCCGAGTCTATGCTCAGAGGCCTTGGAGACAGAAGACCTGGGTTTCTACCCTGCCTGTGACCTTGGGCCAATAGTGTAGCCTCCCTGAACCTCAGGCTCTTCATCTGTAATGTTAGATTGGATGACCACTAAAGTCTCTTTCAGCTCTTTAAGGCAGGTAGATGCTTCCGGGGACAGAGTGCTGAGCCTGGAGTCAGGAAAACCCCAGTTCACATCTGGCCTCAGAAACCTACTAGCTCAAGTTCCTTAAGGTCAGTTTGCCTCAGTTTTGTCATCTGTGAAATGGGGACAATAATAGCACCTACCTCCCAGGGTTGTTGTGAGAATCAAATGAGATAATATTTGTATTAGCACAATGTCTGGGACATAGTAGGCACTATGTAAATACTTATTCCCTTCCCTCCTCCCCTCTTCCCAAGCCTCTGATTTTGTAGAAGGCTTGACTCTACCAAAGAGCTCTACATTTGAGGTGTTACTACAACCGCCCCTCCCTTATAAATTTCCCCAGGTTCACTCAATCATGAAAAACGTCAGACCCTGAGTGGAAGGAATGTCCTGCCAACCAACTGAAGGAGACTTAATTACCTCCTTCCCTTTCCCTCTCCTTTCCCCCGTTTCCCATTCCCCACTGTGGCACTCCGAGACGCAGATCATCTCTCCCACCTTTTTCCTAGAAACCCTCTTCCCTGGAATGCTAAGCCAAAATACATTTCTCATTCCCATTTTTCATTTCAATCCCACCATCTCCAAACGCCTCCCCTGTGCTGGGCACTTTGCTCGTAGCAGAGCTGAAGGGGAGGGGATGGAATGGAAAGATGATAAAGACAAAGGTCCCTGCCCTCCAAGGGCTTAGACGCGTACAGTCTGCCTCAGTAGGTGGGAAACATAGGGGCCAAAGTTAACACCAACCTCAGAGGTCGCTGAAATCATTGCTGGGAGAGAGCTGCCCCAGAGTTAGAAGGGACCAAGAGGCCATAGAAGGAACCGAACCTTCTCCTTCTAAAGATAAGGAAACCGATCCATAGAGGAGTTAAATTACTCAGAGACCCAAACCCCAGTCTTGGTCTTTGATCCTATAGAAGCATGCATTTAGAGCTGGACAGGGGACTTTAAATGTCCTTAAGTCCATCCCCCTCTTGAAGAAACAGACCGAGAGATGCTGTCACCGGCCCACACTGGCTCACACAGCTATTAGGTGACCCAGGAGGGATTTAAGTCTTCCTGACTCCTGGTCCTTTTTTGACGAGAACTGTGATTTCTTTGGTATTAGAAATTCCCAGGGAGGAAAGTCCCTCTGCCAATAGATCTCACACAAGCTCAGTAATCTATACCCTTGGAGAGTTAGGTGGGTCAGTGAAAAGTTAAGTCACTTGCCCAGGGTCATAGGGCCTCTTTGTGTCAGGGGAGCCTTGAACCAGCCCTTCCTAACTCCACATTTTCACTTCGTTTCCACTCCCCCACAATCTGAACTCCCTTATTGTAGAGCTTCCATCGACATATGGTGATATTAGGGGTAGGAGAAACACTCCGTGTTCTATATGCAGCCTTGTTACTGAAAGTGCCCTTGCAAAAATAACACTGCTTCTCATTTTGCATCCATTTATTCATTCAGGAAACATGCCAAATTATTTGGATTGTAGACATCGAGAAGAGCTGGTCTTTCTATCCCCAGCACCTAGTTTTGGACCTGCTAGAAACTTTAATAAATATTATTGGATTGAAATATGTGATAGGTACCTCCCACATGCCGCCTGTGGAAAAGTCTGCTTTTCTTTGCTTCTGTGATGCTTCTGTTCCCTGCCATTACTGAGTCTGCTCTCTCTCTGTCAATGGCAAAATGAAGCTTACCCAGTCTAGAAAGCCTGTGCTCATTGTTCTGCATGGGAAGGTACCTCCCTTCCACTCCAGCACTGGAAGGATATCCCCCCCCCCAACATAAAGAGGCTTGGGATAGCCCAGAGATTGTCACAGCCTGCTCTCATCCAAAGACTGAGGCAGCCTACTGTGTGAACAGCTGCAAACAGCAGTCAGTGGTAGTGAAAGGTTGAGGTTTTCACCCATGACCACAGAATTCTGCTGGGCCCCAAAAGGGCCCAGGGTGGAAGGGGAGCCACAAGGCCAAGGCATTTGTTTCCCGGATTTCTGCTTTTCTTAGATCATACAGGAAGTACCTAGAAGTCACCCCTATTGACTTAAACGCTAAGGCCTGGGCTGTCTCTGGATGAATTCACTCTGCAGCTCTGGCCTCCTTCTGGTTGAATGGCTATCAGCCTGGAGAAGAGACCTCTCATACTTGAAAAACTGGGTCTCATCTCAGAAAGGTGGAGCCCAACCTCGGTTACCAGATCCCAGAGAGTAGCCAAGTGGGAACGTGGTCTGCAGGGCCCCACGGACTGAAAAAAGCAGCTCTCCTTTGCTTCTTCCAATATTCCCCAAGGGAGACATTGCTATTTCTTCCAGTGTCTTTGCTCTCTGGGTGAGGAGCCCTGGCGACCCAGGGAGAACTTTTGGCTCCACGCTCACAAAAAACCCTTTGTTCAGACTGTACTGGGTTTTAGTTTCCAGAAGGGATAACTCAATGCATGAAACCCATCTATTGATAACAAAACCAAAGCCTGAATTTCTAATGGAGAATTGTCAGGGAAAGAGAGAGAGATTTCTTTTTCAAATGAGTTTCCAGGGCTGGGGGAGATTCATTATCTTTTCTGCTATTAGGGAGGTTGTTTCTTGAGTCTTTCCAACCTGGATTCAGGAGAATTAAATCATCCACTTCCTACATACTAAATGAAGGGGAATTCTTTTGGGGGAGAAGCCACGCACCTTCTGTATTTATTGTTGTTGTGTATTGTTCAGTTTTTCAATTGTGTCTGACTCTCTGTGACCCCATTTGAAGTTTTCTTGGCAGAGATACTGGAGTAGTTTGCCATTTCCTTCTCCAGCTCATTTTACAGATGAGGAAACTGAGGTAAACAGGGTGAAGGCACTTGCCCAGGACCACCATTTCAGGAAGCACTCAGACCATCCACACTCACTTTATACTCACTCTTTTCCTGACTCTGCCACTTTTACCTCCCCCCATATCAACCCTACTTTCCCAACTCTCTCTTAAGTGTTGTTTGAATCTAAGTTCCCTGAAGGTGGGGACAGTCTCTGTCTCTATCTCTCTTCCCCTTCTCTCTTTTCTTTCTTTCTTTCTTTCTTTCTTTCTTTCTTTCTTTCTTTCTTTCTTTCTTTCTTTCTTTCTTTCTTTCTTTCTTTCTTTCTTTCTTTCTTTCTTT